AAAAACACTGCAAACTGCAAACACAGACACACTCACAAAAATATTGTAATTCTGCCTTTCAAATAAAAATAATATTTTCAAATATATATATATATATAAAGGTAGAGCCAAAACACATAAGGATATTTTGCATTTTGAAAATCTAGCCTACTTAGTGATCTCAGCTTCACCAGTAACAATAAATTAAGGCACAGCTCACAATACTTGAATTTGGAATTTTACAGACAATAGCATTTTCTCAAGTCACAGCTGCCTCAAAAAGGGAAGCGAAACTGAGCAAACACAATTGTTTATCCTATAAAAAAGTAATCTGGCTCAAATGATTGACGTTTGCACTGAAATTTCTCAATCTACCAGAGACCTAAGTGCAGTTACTGCTTATGTCTTTTCATTCCAGTGCTCTTCTGTGGTGAGTCTGTTATCTTTACTGATCTTTGAGAACACAAAGAAGCAAACAGGAGGTTCCCATTTCCTTCGCTGGCCTTGTTCAAGTCAGCATATACTAAACTCCTTCCATGTTAAGGTGGAAGTTATGAAGCACAGGGACTAATGAGTCAAAGACCTCCGTCTAAAGAGGTAAATACCCCAAAGAAAAGCAAATAACTGTTCACCCTGGTCATCTCAACAAGGAGCAACGAAACACATAAGCCAAGTCCCAAGAGAGTAAGAAAGAAAAAATTTCATTTTGATTTAGGAGTGAGGCGAATAGGTTCAGGAGAGCTTCACAAGGAGGGTGACCTTTAAGTAAAATCCTCAAGAAGGTTTTAAAAAAGGAACCGGGTTTTCTAAGAAGTTCTTTTACAAACGCTGTGCTGGGAATCCGGCCTGCCATGGCTAGGTTATCCATAGAAAGCAAGGAGGCTCTGGTTTACAGTTTTACCTGCAAGATTTCCACCTGCTGCCTTCGGGTAGCTGGAAAGGTACCTCTCTAAATAACATTTAAACCTAGTTACCAGGTCAGGAAACAATTCTTCAGGCAGAATTGCCCACAGGAAAAGGAAGAATCACCTCTGGCTCTATTGCTAGGATATCTTTTGCCTGGAAGCTAATCAACTCCCCTAACTTTCAAATTCCAGAACCAGGCACTTAACCTGTCTAGAATTCAGCTTGGTCATCTGTGAAGAGAACAGCAGTGTCCTTCACATGCCCTGGTGAAAACGAACCGAGTAATTTCACAGAAAAAAACCTAAAACCATGACCGCATACAGTAAGCCAACAGCACAATTGTTTTACCGAAAGATGTTTTCTGCTAGTTTATTTATCATTTGTTCCACCAATGAGTCAGAAAAGCCATTTCTCATGCTAGTTCACTTTTATAAGTCATATTTTGAAACTATTTTTTTTTATTAGAAACAGCTAAATATTAGAACCAAAAAAGAAGCAAAGGTAGGACTAGCAGCTCGGCTCTTACTTCTTTTCCCTTTTTCTTTGGTTCCCAACACTTTCAGAGTCAAATACTCTATCATTTATTTTCTATGACGTAAGACATTTTGAAGTCACGGTCTACTTACAAGCATTTGACAGAAGCAAGAATATAGTTTGTTTTAAGCCAAATTTTAAAAACCAGGGTTGAGTTCATTTTTACTGCCAGGTCTTTCCGTGGCTCTGTATTCCTGTACAACTGCAGACTCAAGCAGCTGAAGACAGAACCTGGCTGAATCACTCGTGCCAATCGGGAAATATGATTCAGGCTTGTCAATTGTGATAGGGACCAGAGCAGATGCGTGTGCAGTATACAGTAAGCATCCTTAAAGATGCCCTGCTCACAGCAGCCAAAATTAGGACACTTCAAGAACTCTGGAACTTACTAAGCTCTGCCACTTGCAAGCTGTGTGGCCGGGGAAAAGCCACCTGACCTCTCCGTTTTTAACGAGTCTGTTGTGAAGATTAAGAACAACACCTGGCTCGTAGTGATATGTGTCTATTAAATAAACATTGCAGGTGTCAGGTGCGTTGGTTCAGATGCTATTTGAGAATCCTCACATCCCATCCCATGTGACTGCCTGGTCAAGTCCTGGTTCCATTTTCAGCTCCTTTTAATTCCTGCTGGTGTGCATCCTGAAAATCACCAGAGGATGACTCTTGTACGTGGGTCCATGTCACCCCTGTGGGAAAGCTGCACTGAGTTCTGGGCTCCTGACTTCAGCCAGGCCCCGGCCCCGCTGTTGCAAACATTGGAAGAGTGAACCAGCAAATGCAAGACCCCTCTTGGTAGGGGTTTGTCTGCCTTTCCAACCAAACTAAAGTAAATTTCAAAGCTGTTATTTGAGGCTGGTCGGAGTGCAGTAGTGTTTACAACTAATTGATCAAAGTTAATTTGAAAAATAAAAGCTGCAATAACTTTGGCATTCCTGGTTTCCCCATAGGCAAATCTGAAGATGGATTCAGTTTTCTCAGACTAAGCTCTCCCCTAGCATATTAAATAAAACATGTATTCAAAATGTTTTGAAAATAGATGCTTCAATAGTTAGCCAAAAGGGACATCATAGTTGCATTACCTCTTTAATATTTGGACTTCAGAGTGTTTTATAAATGCAGAAACCACAGAAATTTTGGTATTTTGTTTGAGAGTCACAAGGCTTATAATTTAAAATCATCTAAGGCAATACCCGTTCAAATATTTTAGGAGATAAAACTGAAATAGCAAAGATTTTCATTTACAGTCACCACAAACACAGCATAAACACCCTGGTTTATTCCTACCAGCAAAAAAAAAAAAAAAATTCAACTCCTCTCTCCATACGGGGTAAGTCCTACAAAGGATAATAAAACCAGAGTTGCTAAGTTTCATTCATTTTTAATCATGTTTGCCTAAGCTGAAAACCATCAGGCCCTAATCACTCTTTTCCAGCCCTGGGCTAATGCATGTCTCACATAAACATACTCTAAGTGCCCAGGGTCTATCGCGCACCTTCACTGTGTGTCTAAAATGCTTGTAAGGAGGTAAAAGGCAAATGCTCAACTCCAGGGAAGTCGCCCACACCACAGGTGTGTGGTCACAGAGCCAGCACCCTGGAACACCACACTGGCACCTGCAGACTACTCACCACACCAGGATGGCAGCGCCTGCCCCTAAATGCACTGTGGTCACACTCGCTCCCCTGGTCCCTTTGATTCTACTGTTTGCTGTCCAAGAGCTCCTGTTTTACCCAGCATATCTAACATCTCTTCAAAAGTCCACATTTTATAACTTACTTTGGTAGTTCATAGGGACACTAGGGGCAACAGCTCACGACCAAAACTTTGTACTCAGAAGTGGTTCTATCTGAAGAGAAGGTACTCGGGAATATTCTGCTTTCACACTATTTGAAAGTTTCTCTAAAAGTGGTAAGAGTTACAGGAAGCCTTCATTTTTGTATTAGGGTTGAGAAAAGAGGCTGAAATAGAAGGAGATGAGAAAGTGTTGGTTTAATTGGCATTTAATTTTTGTCTAAAAACCTCAAAATTCGGGTCTATTGTGGTAAAAGAACCAATAATTTTCTCCACTCTTGAACTTGGGGGGACATAGTTGTCAGCTCTTCTGTAAGGCAGTAGGGATTGGACAGCAACAGGGAAAGTGACTTTGTTTAAAACATCAACTCTGCCCTCTGTTATTATATGAAATGCATATACCACTCCCTTCCTGAGGTGTCACGGACAGTCTTGGGCTGTAAAAGCCGATGGGATCCATGCTGCACAAAAGCAAAGGCGATTATTTCTAGTGCCAAACACTTCCTTTTCTTCTTCATTTGTAAAATTCTTTCGTGCTTCTGGGAATTTCCGAAGAGGAGATGTATCTACACACAACCCTGGCACCGGCCGACACCCCCACAACATTCTCTGATTTGGCAAGGCTCTGGTGTCGTGTCGGGAGAACGCTATCGAGCAAAACAAACAAAAAAACCCAGGTGGCCTGTCTTTCTGCCTGAACCCCCTACGACTCTTCTCCAGACTGCAAACACCGGTCTCAGCCGGATTCCCCATCCCTGCCCCACTGCAGCCCCAGGCTCATTCCTAGGCCACCCAGCCAGGAGGCGCTGCGGGTCAGTCTCCGGGGTCCTCCCGCAGCGGGCGCCCAGCTCCCCCACCCGCACCGTGGAGCCCAGCCCAGCTACCCAGCCCAGCGCCCAGCTGCCCAGCCCAGCGCCCAGCTGCCCAGCGGCCCAGCGACCCAGCGGCGAGCTCTGCGCCGCCCGCCGGGGTTACTCGCGGTCATCGCGCTGCACCACCTCTCCGCATCCGTGAAGCTGCTCCCCAAGACACGGGCAGCAAAGGGGCGGAGCGGATCAGGGAGGCATGGGTACCCCCAAGTTTCCACGAGTTCTCCCGAAGTCTTGTGTTTTATCAAAGGTGCAAAACGTGTCCGTTTCCCCCTCCCCCAGCCGCGCCAAGGACAGCCGACCCCGAGAACGCAGAAAGTCTGCAAGACGAAACATCCCCAAGTCCAGCAAAACCTCCGAGGCCTCATGCGAGTAATAACACAATGGACCCTGTTTGGGATGCCTACTACTCGCGTTCTTGGGGGGACAAGGAGGCGCCGCTCCGGTCCCGGGGCGCACGGCACAAAACCCCTGGTCAGAACCTAACTCTTAAGGGCAGAGTGGGGATTCTGAGGTACCACAGGTCCCGGTGGGCGCCGGCGGACCCACAGCCAGAGGAGTTGGCTGCAGGCTCGGGAGCTCCGGAACAAAGAGAAGCGCTCCTGGGCGAGACCTGCGCCTCTGCCGACCCGGGCGGCGACGCTCGGGGTGCGCGCAGCAACCCGCGCCCCACAGCGCCTCAGGTACTGCGCCTGGGCTGCAAGGCCAGAGATGCTCCCCGGGATACCAGAGCCGCGCGAGCCCCGACGTGCGGGGTCACCGAGTGACCAGAGCTCCCCTTCAGACACCTTTTCCCGGGAACGCCGCCCACGCCCCTTTGCATCACTATTAGGTAGATTGTGGGGGGCCGTACTCTAGTTCCCCCCAAACCCAGCGCTTTTCCCCTACAATAACAACCCAAGTCACTGGGAAGTCTCTTACCTGGTTTCCACTTCTGTTGTTTGTGCCTCTTTCCCCGACCCCTGGATAAAACCTTCCGAAGAAGGGGAGAAAAAGAATTGGGGGGAAAGGGGTGGGGCAAAAATAAAAATAAAAATGAGGGAGCAAAGCGCCGGGAGAAATTGGCTGCGGCTGCCTGGGTACCGGGACGCCCCCCGGCCCTGCCCACCCGTGCTGCAGGAGAGAGGTGTCGGTTCTGCTGGGCCGTCCCGGCCGCACTCACTCTCCGTCGGAATTACTGTTTTTTTGCCGCGACTAGTTCCTTTTATAGATTCGGCTGCGCTGGGCGCCGGGGTTACTGTCGGTCAAAGGCTGTTCTCTCCCCGCCCCCTCCTCCTCTTCAGTCCCGGCCTGTGTTTATGTAGTTCAGTCACTCCGCGGCCAGCACGTGGAGCGGCGGCCCGCCCCTTAAACGGGCGACGTTCCGCCCGCGGGAGAGGTGCAGGGCGCCGCCGGCCAGGCGGGCTCGGAGGTCGGCAGGGTGGGAGGCTGTCGGCGCCCCCTGCCCCTGCCGGAGCCAGCCGGCCCCAGGGCGAGCAGGAAATGAGGGGTCTGGAGCTGCACCCGAGACACTCTGCTTGGGTCCAAGTTCTGGGCAGCCAAGTGCATTAGTGGAAAATCGTTACCTGAAAACTTGTTGTTTTCCCGCAGTTTGTTTTTCTTTCTTCTTTGTTTCCCCAGTCGCAGGGATTGTGAGAGGGAGGGTCAGGCTGAGATTCCCTCTCCCGGGACCTTCCACCGACCTGCAAGGTAGACTGAATGACTGGCTGCTTTTGTTTTCCAGCGCAAACCCTGGAGCTGGATCTCCCTTGGGGGTCTCTTGCCTGTTGAGCGTCCCAGCCCCAGCACCCTCAAGGCCCCCCAAGGGCTCAAGGAGACCGAGCGAAAGGGGAACGGTAAGAACCCACCTACTTTTAATTTTCATTATATTGGTCAGCCTCCTCCCACCCCCTCCCCCACCATCCTCCTACACCCCCACCCCCTTTCCCCGTGAAAAATCCCCGAGGCCTGTATCTTAGCTTGTCTGGATTTGTCAAATGCAGCTCAAGAATTGTGGTGCTGTAAAATGACATGACTTCTCCTGTTGCAGTATTCCCTTTGGCATTGGCAGTCAGGAGGAGCAGGGCACCTGAACGAAACCCGTGAGGGGCAGAGGCCAGTGCCTGTGGAGGCCCACAGGCCATCTGCCTGAGTAATTAGATCCTAAATCACGACCACAGACAGTACAATAAATATCTTCCACCGTGACAAAGATACCTTTGTTGCAACCTTGAAGGGCAGGTTCACATTTGGGCTCCACACAGTTTGACCTGATTTTGGCAAGAATGTGATGGAATGGGAGAGCTGCCCCCACAGCCCTAAGTATCTCCGTCCCCCCACCCAGCTACAGCATCTCCCAGAACAGCCATTGCTACATGTGGACCCCGGCTGCTGTGCTCCCCTCGACACACTACAATCAGTAGACCTCTGGACACAAGTGGAGCCAACAGAGACACCCCAGTGTGTTCTCTCTGTTCTCTTGGTCCCTTAAGGCCATAGATGCTGAGGGGGTGTCACACTCAAGCCTTCCAACGCCCCAAAGCCCAGGAGAGGGCTCCCTTCTGCCTCAGTCAAGGATTATAAGACATTACAAGGCAGGGCCGGACTTGGCCCCACCACAGGATTTGCCTTGTGGATAACGTCTTTCTTGCTCTGTGAAGAGGGAATATATTTGCTCTCTTAGTCTCATAGAAGTTTCCTGAAAATAAATTTTGGTAAAAATCTTTGAGCTCCTTGGGAAAATGACACTATAAATGAGAGGATGTTATTGGCTGAGTGTTGGTATCATGTTCAGATGCCATGTATGGCCTATAAAAATTTAGAAATTCAGAACTAGAAAAGAGTTTAAAATAATCTTTTGGATCCTTTGTCTGTAAAGGTAAGCTCCCTAAAAGGTGTCTCGAAAATAGTTTTAGGGGGGAATGACATCTCTCTGGCCTTCTGTATCTATCCTCTTCCTCCACTACAAATTATAGTATTTAAAATCCCACTACTTACATCAGTCTTTGTAACTTTGAAGGATATGGTTACAAGAGCATCCTAATTATAGATAATGCCTTGGAGTGCACTAATGGGGAACGGCAAACAACACATGGAATAAGACAAAAACAAGGGCCTGGTGTGATGACTCAATTGGCCAGTCCTACCCTTGCATGCACCAGCATCCTATGTGGATGCTAGTTTGTGGTTTGGCTGCTGCACTCTCCATCCTTCTCACTGCTTCTGGCCCAGGAAAGCAGTCAAGGAAGACCCAAAGCCTTAGGACCCTGCACCTGTGTGGGAGACCTGGAAGACGCTCTGACAGTTGCAGCACTTGGGGAGTGAGCTAGTGGATGGAAAAATCTCTCTCTTTGTTTCTCCTTCTCTCTGTAAATCTGCCTTTCCAATAAAAACAAATAAATCTTTAGACATAATACTGGTGAAAGAAGAAAATGAAAACCTCAAAGAGAAAGTATCAGTTGGCTAAATGCACAAGTCTATGACCCCAAAGCTAAACAAAACCTTGCTTTTTACATCACACTTAATATAGGAACACACTGTAATGTTTGGCATACGTTTATCTCACTAATTTTTTCATTCTGCTTTTACCAGTTTAAAAGGCATAGAGACAAGAGAGAGACCAAGAAAGAAGAGACCTTGCATTTACCTCTTCATTCCTCAAATGCCTGCCAGGCCAGGCCAGGCCAGGCCAAAGCCAGGAGCCAGTCCAAATCTGCTTTGTGGGTGACAGGGACTCAGATACTTGAGTCACTACAGGGGTCACTGGCAGCGATCTGGACTCAGAGCAGAGACAGGAAAGACAGCACCCCTAGCAGCGTTTTTAATACTTGGTCAGACACGCCGCTTGCCCCCATCCTGCTGATCTTTAGTTAGAAGAACCCAGTGCCACACCACAAACGGGCTGAGGTTCCAGAGATGTTTCTCCGTGAACTCCAAGCCCATGCTCTGCAAATATGACAATGTTGAACTACTGAATTCCAAAAGCCGGAGCCCAGGAGACTTGCCCCTTGTGGAAGAAGTGTGCAGATGAATGCTCTCCCCTCCAGCCCTTGTGTGCTTTAGGTTGATATTCTGCAGTGGCTGCTTCCCCTTGTCTTCTGATTCCTGCTAACCCCTAAACTATCCCAGGTGGCGCTTCCCAGATGGGTAGGCAGGCCCCTCTTTGTTGCTGTTACTCTGCAGAAGCCTACTGCTTAAATGCAGTCTGGGTAGTTTGAGGTTCTATTCTAAGATGACTCTGGCAACTTCTAATTACAGAATTGACCTTCAGGCAGCTGTAGCCTTGGAAATGTTGCTAGAGGTCATAGAGCTCCGGAGAGGCTCAATTTTATCATCCTATCGGGCTTTTTAATTGGAGATGACCTAACAGACCTTGCTTGAAGATTGCTTTGATATTGTATATCTGTTACCCAGCCTGCATAATACACATGTGCACATTGTTCAAATATGAACGATTTTCACCATACATGTATTTTTTGCTTTGTAGCTATACTATTTGGTTTTTTTTAAAATGCCAAAAATTAACAGTCCTGTGGAAAATCAATTAAAAATAAAAAAAGGTATTCTTAAATGATTTTTCAGGTTGAATTTGTAATGGCTGCAAAGATCTAGTGGATATTGTCTTAGAGGATCTCTGGAAAATGTGAAATACCTTAAATTTTAAAAAGAATTGGTCTGTCATCTTTCAAATAAAGGTAGAAGTACCTACAGTTCACATTGGAATCAGCTTAATGCCAATGCATGGTTAGACACAGAAACAAATCATTACACAATCAATGGTCACATTAAAAAGCACAAAGAAATACCATTACTTGTAGAGTAGACCATGGATCACATAGGCCCTCAATGTAATTTAATTTCAATGTCATTCTCTTATTAATGACTCCCACAGATATGCAGGCAGATTCAAAACCATTATCCTTCTGTAGCCGAATAGTACTTTTGTGAAGTTTGTCACTGCATCAACAAGTAGCATAGGTTATGGACAGATTTCCCTGAATTTCTAGTTAACCGATACAGCACTCTTTAAAAGTTACCCTTCCAATCTTTCTTTCTTTAAGCTCTCCTTCCCTTAAGAGCCAAACAGAAAGATTTAGTCTCTGTTCCCTCTTAACTCAAACTAGTGCGATGCAATTTTCATCCCCATAGCTCTGAATCCGCACTGGTCTACATTTATTAATGACCTTAGTGGAGGGTATGTGGAAGAAAGAGGTAATTTCTTTTTTTTTTTCAATTGTAAGATACTTTTAGTGTAGAACAATATGTAGGAGAAATATCTCAAGCTTGAGAAAACTTCATAATTGACATTGCAGAGGACCCCTTTTCAGTCAGCAGGGTATTTGATCCCATGTTTGACACTGCTGGCTGCACCTTCCTTTCTGAAACTAGTTGTTCTTTTGTGTTTCAGTGAATCTAGTTCTCCTTTTTTCTACTGCTTTGGAGATTTTATTTATGTATATATTTATTTGAGATGGAGAGAGAGCATGCCCTGTCATCTGCTGGGTCATTCCCCCCATTGTCCATAACAGCTAGGACTGGGCCAAGGCAAAGCGGGGAACCAGGAACTCAGTCCACCTGGACTGGCAGAGACCCAAGTGTCTGAGTCATCACCTGCAGTGTTCCAGGGTGCGCATCAGCATGAAGCTGGAACTAGAAGAGGGAGCTGGAACAGAACCAAAAGTGGGTTTTGCAAACGCACTTACATTTACCAGCACAGCAATTAGCAAGGTGTTCTGCAAGCAAGCCCTCCCCCACCAAGTAAATGGATCTTCCCTTTAAATGTCCCACTTCCATCTGCCTTTTTAAATTATTTTTAAAAATTTTTTGTGCTTTATTTGAGAAGCAAAGACAAGCAGAGAAACTCCCAGACTTACCACTCTCTAACTAATACAAATGGCCACAACAGGGTGGAAACTCAATCCAGGTCTCCCATCTAGGTGTCTGGAATCCAGTTCTAGAGCCATGACCACTACATCCCTCTACAGCGCACCACTATATTGCACTAGCAGGCAGCTAGA